GGAAAGAGATAACAAGAACACAGAGGGATCTAGGCAGTAGGGTACTTGAAATATGTGGAGGAGGTACAGAAGGCTGAGAAGGCTAAATTAGAGGGGTAGAGAGGTAACCACAGAAAACAAGGGGATACAATCAAGACTGAATATGGGAACAAGTCTACAGCCATACCACCTTGAATGCGCCCGATCTTGTCTGAATCTGGGAATGATTATAAAGCAACTGGAATCCCAGGAAGGCCAGACACACTGTGCATCAAATCCTGTGGAAAGAACTAATTAAAATATGATCAAACAAAACAGGGTGGAAGGAGAGATTGTTGGTGAGTCATAAAGACATTACTGGTTTATTGATTTATATTTTGTATTTGCTAAGAGATTAAGAAAGTAATAGAGATATATAAAGCATTGAGACAAGCTCATTATTTAAAGGAAAATCCTCGATTCTGAAGTCCACTAAATTCTGAAAAGGTAAAAAGATTAGTCAAGGATCAGTAGTATTATAGGGGTGAATAAATACAGATATCAGGATTCCAGAGTGAAACTAGTCATGTAAAATAAAAATGAGGAAATCTCTGATTTATAGCAGGCAATAAATACATTAAGGAGAAAATCAAAGCTTGTTTAACAAACACTAAGCAGGACATGAAACCAGAGCAAGAGAATCCTGCTCCTGCCAAAGTTTCCAGGATGCGGAATAAAAGGTAAATGACTCTACAGATGGTAAGTTTTTACGAGCTTTGTTGTTCACAATTTTCCCTGAAGTCCAGAGACAAAAATATTGATGCCTTCCTGGTAGCTTTGCAATTGAACTTAAAATGAGAGCTTATAGTGGTGAACATGTTTTGATTATTCGGAATAAGCATGCTATTCTGTTAAGGTTGTCTTCTTCATTCACGTTATCATTAAATACTTGATTTCATTGTTTGCCATTAAATTCAAGACAGTTATTGCATACTCTTAACCAGATATTGAGCTACAGCAGAAAATAAAGAACAGCTTCTAACCTCATGGAGCTTACTGCCAAGTAACATACATATGCAGTTTAAGGACCTGGTTGCAGAACTATAGAAATAAATACAAGAAAAACATAAAAAGCAAAAGTAAGGTACAAGCACATAAGTGTGATTTTTCCAAAGCAGAGATTGTATTTTAGTGGGAATGAAAAAAGCATAGAAAGCGGACATTGATTAAATTTGGCTTGAAGATGGGACAGAAGGTAGGAGTCGGAAAAGGAGCCTCTAGGTTACGAACCACTGAATGGAATTAGGAAGGCATGGGCTACGGATGGGAAAGAGTGGAGTGCCAGAGTTGGCTATGGTCCCCATAGGCATGGAGACTTTCAAGCAAAATCAGTTGCTCAATATAGTTACCTGAGAAATAAGTTATAAATGGAGACTTTTGTTTCCCTAGGACTCTTCTCTTTTAATCTACAGCTTCAAGTTGGCAAATGCCAAAGGGCAGCACACTTGGGGCAGAAAGCATATGGTTGGAGCACTAGAAGTCCATAGATTTGAGTTCAACTTTCAGCTGTGCACTAACAGATCTGGTTACTCACAACTGGTTAGTTCAACTTTCAGCTCTGCACTAACAGATCTGGTTAGTGTACAGTTGTGAGTAGGACTTCATCTTACAGAATTAATCTATTGACTGCACGTCCTCATCTGCAGACTTTGTTACACTGTTTCTCTAATGCTCATTGCTGGTAATAAGGCATAAATGAAATCACACTAGTACGGTGGTTTGTGAGTTCTATGGTGCTTTATAAAATACATAATTCCATTTACTTGGGATTTTCAGCAAATCACAATCCTTCCTGTTTTCGCTCCTAATGATTTCTGCAGTTTTCATTAGAGGGACTGTGATACATTTAGAGATCCCTTGTTGATTTCAAATCTAATGGCTCTATAAACCTTCCTGAAAATTCACTGGGATTCCAAATAAAGAACTAAGTGTTATCCCTTCCCTATTTATCCTCTATTTAGAGACAAAGCCTGCTGTTTGTTAGTGTCTGAAATCCATTCTCTAAGTTCATTTTATTTACTTATGTAGTCAGTGATAAACTTCAGGATGTGGTCTGTGCTTGGTGTTTCTGAAGTACTGAAAACATTGGAGATAAGAATAAAATATTCTGTGAACCTTGGGTGACCTGATAGTGTCCAAACTCTACCTCTTTGGTGTTTCCAATGCTGAATTTTCACTAAATACTGTGAGGCCTGGACCGCCTGTCTTCCCTTTTGTATCAACTGAGTGCCCAGCCTCCCCTGTACAGTTGTTCTCTCAGAAGAAATGCTTATTTGATTCTTGCCTGATGGAATTAATCCAGGTAGCTGAGCTATCAATAGTCAGAACTTGAAAAAAAAATAATGTATAAAAAGCCCAAATTAGTGCTCAAATTATCGTATGAAGACATTGCTCCCTTAGGTCTCAGGGACTCCAGGGCTGGTGAAAAGATCTTTTATGGGGAAAAAAATAAAAGCATCTTGAGTAAAACAAAGCTACACAGTAGAAACAGAATGCTAGACTATCAGTAAAGTCAGTCTGAGGTGGATGCTTGAAGGGATGGAATGAGGTCAGCTGGGTGGGTGGGCAGAGGGCAGCACAGAGCAAACTGCTCAGGTTAGGGCTGGACCAGCTTGCTTTTCAATCAACTTAATCTTGTTCGATCTGTCTCTTCAGACTTCATGAGGTTTTTCCCAACACTCTCACAGTTAGGAAAAAAAAAAAACTTTTCTGAAATCCAAAAGTAGAAACAGGGAGCTCATTGACTGTGTTTCAGGGCCATTTTGTGGGATCTACTGTTGCAATCCTTGCCTTAGAGAATAGGGTCATGGATATGCCAACCTACAAAGACTCATTCATATCCCATGTTTGCCTTAGAACCAGTGGCAGTATCAGGAGAAAGGGGAAATGTACTCAGATGTAGTTAAAGAAAAGTGATAATTTTAATTACATAAGCTTACTTTTTTTTCTCCCATGAATAATATCTGGATAATGGTTAGCTACTCCCAGAGCCCTTTTTCATGGCAATAACTAAGAGGACTAAGCCTATATAAACCAGATTCAGAAAACAAATGAGGTGTAGAAAACCCTATTATGCATTCAATTGCATAAGGTCCGTGAGAGAGACAGCATGAGCCACCTTGTAAGTACATTTTCTCATTTTGAATGTAGGTGTTATGTTCTCAGGGTCAAAATCTTCATGGAGAAGTTCATCCTCCCCCATGGACTCTTCAAATTAAAGCCAAATAGAACATTCAGATCTTAAATCTTATTTTGATCCATTGTCTTTCTGTTGGCAAGTCTGTTTTGAAATATCTGAATGAAGGGTCTTCTTCAAACAATAACTAACTTGTTAAAAGTCAGGAAACTTGGAGCATTAGGTAGATACTCATATTTAGGGTCAACCTTCTGGTGTTGATACTATTTACAAATCACCAGTGGAGAAAATCTCTGGGTGTATTTCATATATGGCAACAACTTAAATAGTTTAATAATACCGTGTAGCCTTCACATCTCATGTATCTTGGTGGCTGACCTCACCAACTGTGCTTACTATTCTTCAAGTAGCTGTTTCATTTCCTTTTGAAGATGTATTTCAGTTTTTACTATTGGAACCGTGTGTGTAGTATTGTATGGATGCTGGGGAATGGGGTAGGGACAAGGGGTGCCCCACCAAGTCCAGCTGATGCTTGACTATGCTGGAGCTGAGGGAGTCTTAAGCACTCTAGATAATAAGCTGTTAGATGTGAGGAAGGGCTCATTGCTGACTTTCTTACTATGGCCTTTTTCTGTCCTCACCAATTATCTCTTTTATTTCCCAATGCCTCAGATTCCCTCGGCATGAAAGGCAGGACACACAGAGAAAAAATGATTAAGTACAAATATTTTAGGAGTTAGTCACAGCAACATACAATCTATTCCAAAAGAAGCTGTAAAGTGGCACATGGCCTTTTATTTTTGGGCAAGGAGGGAAGAATTAATGGAAAGGAAGTTGGGAGGATATCCGTTTCCAGAAGGGTGGTGAATGGATAGAGGCGGTGCAGGGCAGCCAGGTGATTTGGAGCTGAGGTGAAGAGCTAGACCAGAAGAGCTGCCACAGAAATAGGGAGGAAGGCAGAGAAAACAAAAGAGGATCTGGATTATAGGTACAATTATGGTTTAGTCCAGTATGGTCTTACCTTGTATGCAGGCCAAGTTAGGTGTAGGGTTGCCCGACATTTCATCCAGTGAATAGCAGCAGAAGCAACAAAGGAGACATCCTTGAGCGATTGGTTCACTTTCCCCAAGTAGTCAGCAAGCCTCGTTCAAACACACTGAACCACGGCCTCCTGATACGCGCTGAGGCCCCATGGCAAGAGAGATGGTGGTTACTAAGATGTGATTAAAATGATAGGATAATCATTCAAATTTTTAAAATGTATGAAAGTAAAAGGCACATTGAAGTACTTCCCCTCCAAATATTCCCCTTGGCTTCAAACACACTTATCCCATCGTTCTTGCCACTTTCTGAAGAATTCTGGAAGCCTTCTTTGGTGAGTGTTTCTAATTGTGCTAGTGTGCCTGCCTCAATGTACAACATCAGCTCAAAATGCTTATCTCTGCTGGTCATTTTGATTTTGAGGAAGAAAAAGAAGTTGTAGGATGCCGGATCTGGTGAAAAGGAAGACAAGAATTCACTCTGACTTTTTTATAAGCTTTTCTATTGAACGTCACTTGGCAGTATTCACTGTATTTTTTATCATACTTCACAGACATGAAAGGGGACTTCCAGAACTACTTCAGAATGTAGCAAGAACAGTGGAATAAGTATATTTGAAAGGAGAAAAAGCATTTTGACAGGATTTAATGGCAATATGATTTTTACTTGAATAAAAATTTTAATTTACTGTATATTTTGATTGCTTCTTGTTTTAATCATTTTAAGAAAGCTCTGACTGTAACAGGACTTTAGGATTCTAAGCTCATCTCTGGCTAAGGAAAAGATCCACTAACATCTGCTCCCATTTCAGATTGCAATTTCCATCCTTGTGCTCTACCTACCTCCATCTCTGGCCCTGATGGTGAGTCAGGTAGAGAGGGTCCCATCCGCCTGGACCTCTTTAAGCAGAAGTATTCCAGTGGTAATAATCAAGCATGACACCCCTCAAATGCCTTGTAGGCATCCCTCAACCTCCAAGGTGTGGACAAAGCACAAATTCTGAACTTTCAGATTTCCTCATTGTGGCTTGCTTTTCCTCAGAGCACCAATGACAGCCACCTTCTGGATGGATCTGTTGGGACCCAAGTCATCCATGTCAATGCCTTCCGAGGTACGGTCAGCATCCGAGACAACAATGTTTTGAGTGAATGGGATGGAATCTTGGACTACAAGAATGTAAGATGTGGGATGTGGGATATGTTAATTACAATGCTAAATGAAAACTTACCTGCTCCAAAATATAGCTTAACCCTTTTCCAGAGAGCAGAAGACACCATCTGCCTTGGCCTTCTCTAGGTCTAGGCCCTCAGTGGAAATGAGTGTCGTAGGTAAGGGACTGAGCTTCCCTGCACTGGCAGTGATTTCTCACTGGGGCAGAGACTGTAGGAGGAACTTCTCTGGACCGTGAGGAACCTGCATCCTTTTGGGCTCCTACAAGATGTTCATTTCACATGACCATCAGAGGCCCCAGAATTCTGAGCGTCATTTGCTGAGCCCCCATTTCCTATAAGAGAGACATGCTGTGAAAGTCACTTTGTCTCCCTTCCAGCTCTCAATGTTTATTTTGAAATAAACATGAAATATTTTCATCTTTAGAAATCTGACTGCAACTTGCTCATCTCTGTAAGTAGAAAGATGTAACAGAAAGGTTCAGGATTAGGAAGAGTGGCCTTGACCTACCTCCCTGATAGAAAGCTTCTATGACCACAGGAATATCATTCATCCTTTGCACCTCACTCACTACCCTCCAGCCCAGTGGCCCCTGCCAGTCAGCCCCTCCCAATCACCTATGTCATCTCTGTCCACAGGGAGCACCTCAGGTGGCCAGAGACACTCACATACTGTTCCTCTCCTTTCCCACCTGTGCCTGCCACACTCTCTTCCTGGACTTTTTCCGTGCTCTTCACCTAGCCTGCTTCTGAGGTCCTCAGTGACATGCCTTCCCAGCTTTTCCTGGAGCATACACAAGCTAGTGATTTCTAATTCTATTGTAGGCATGCACTTTACTTCAATAAAATATCCCACAGTAGTCCTCTAAGTTGAGCATAAGAATTCAGCACACTTTCTGGAGAGGGCTGGTTTCTACAGATGGTCTTGCGCTCAAACTGAGAGAGACCAAATGATGTCCAACCTTTGAGCCTAAGAACCCTGCACACCCTATGAGAACTCTGCAACTTGCACAACACACTCAGGAGCAGCCGGGGTCTCATCTCATCCTCAGGACAGCCTTGTGGGAGGGGCACTATTTTCCTGTGGACAGCTGAAACAACTGAAGATGTGGGTGGAGCACTGAGAACCTTGATGGCCACAGAACAGAAGCTGAAAATCAGCCTTGTTCCTGGAGCTATGTCACTACCTGTCCAAGTCACACTTGTTCCCAGGCAGAATACCTGGAGAATCCTGGGGAGTGAGCACTGTCCACAAGAGTAAGAGTGACAGTAACCTATAGCTCTAGGGAGCAGCAGGTATACACTGCCAGTCCTGACAGCCACCTTTCCTCTGGTGGCCAGGGCAACACACATCCCAGTAGGAAGAAAGCATGATGCTAGTGCCTGTGGCCAGCAGGCGTCCCTTAGTGCTGTGACTAACTGAAGGATGGGTTTCTGTTGTGTTGCTTTAAGGCCCTCTTGGCAGCTAAGCTATTTAGCAAGATGGTCTGTGTCCTGGTCAAGATAGACCAAGCAGTCTTCCCAAGTCTGGATAACATTAACAAGGCACTAGTCAAGCAGGTAAGTGAGACCAGCTTGTTCCCTGGTGATTTCTAACTGGCATCCAACCTTTGAGCTCAGTTCTATGCATACAAAAGAGGGGCACTTAGTTCATGCTCATTCTTTTTATTTTTTTGAGGCATGGTCTTGTTGTGTAGTATAGGCTGGCCTTGAACTTGTTATGTAGCTCAGGCTGGTCTTGGACTCCTGGTGATCCTCCTGCCTCATCCTCCTGAGCACTGAGATTACAGGCAGTCACCACCACACCCAGTCTTTGTGGCTGGTTCAGTGTGCCTGGGAGTGGGGAGGAATGGCCTATGGTGCCAGGGATCGAACCCCAGTCCTTGCACTTGTCTAAGCAGGCGTTCAATCCACTGAGCTATTTCACTGGCCCTCACGCCCATTATTAATGCCCATGAAATCACACCAATGTGCAAAGAACCCTGAATGCAGTCAATGATGCTTTCAAATCAAATCATAATTTGGTCAATGCGAAGTCCATGCAGTGACTGCCCTCTGAGGTATCCCTTAAAGGGTCAAAGTTCATGTCAGAAAGTAGAAGTTGTTGACTATAAATGCTAGATGCTAGAGTAAATTCATACTGTATTCATATCCTCTAACCTTCTTTCCTCCATGCTCACAACCATACAGCATTACACACACACACACACACACACACACACACACACACACACACACACACAGTCTTTAATTGAAAATAACCCCAGGACCATGGGTGCTCTCTTTGTTAGCCTCTTAGGTGACAAAGGAGATTGTTGCTAACAATAAGTTAAAAGTCAGAAGAAACTGCCTGGCAAGTTGTTGAGATCTGCTGTCATTTGTTTAAATCACCTGTACCAAATATTTAGATAAACATAAATGTCTGTGGCAGGAGGCTTTGCTGACTCTTAGAAAATGTAAAAGTTATACTTCAAGTCACATATTAAAGAAACTTACTAAATTTTCAAGAGAAAACATGCCTTATCTATCTGAATTAATCAGGCAAAGCATAACATAAATTCTATAAATAATTTTTAAGCTAGTCTACATTATAGACAGAAAAGTGACACACAGATTATAGATTTTTCTGGGGTACTGTTGCCCTCTTGTGGTGAGGTAAGATCTTGCATTTAGCAAAAATTCCTGGTCAAGTTTGGGTTCACCACTAGTTTTGACAATTGAATTACCCACAAACACTGTTGCTGGGTGTCTAAGGGTCGGGGTGCAAGAGTTCATTTCTTCCTCTTTCTCCTTCTTGCACCATGTTTATTGTCTCAGCATTTTCCTATAACACCTCTTGCAGGCTTCCACCCATTACCCCTCCACCCACGGTCTGACCTACACTGTTTTACCCGACCGGGTTAAGAACCTAGCACAGTTCGGGACGCACATCGAGGATCTGTGCAGAGCCTTCCCCACCTACTTCGCCCAGCAGCGAAAAGAAGGTGTGCTGTCACTTTACCTAGAAAGCCAGGTCCCCTGGAAAGTCAAAAGGCGTAGGAGAGTTGTAGGTCATTGGTAAATTTTGATGACAGTTAGCTCTGCTTCTGTGTTATTGGTATTAGAGTAATACAGCCTCGTGTGCATTCCCCTGCTGGCAGAGAGGATTTCTTGACACCAGCACTCCTTGAATGGGAGCCAGAATGTCAAGGCCAGTCTTCTCATCTGAGAGGTTTGGCTGTCAGTGGATGCCCTCTCCCACCTCAGGGCCTCATTATCCATGGCCTGAGCAGGATGGGGTCCACATTCCACCACTAAAGAGAGGCTTTGAGGCCCTCAATCCTTCTCATCCTCAAGCTTCTTGGAGGGAAGGCAAGACTCCAGTATTTATAGAACACTCTAGAAAAGGAGCATCTCAGTGGCTGGAAGTCTTGCTTAGGATGAGGTAGGCATCAGTAGAGGTCACCTTGGAAAGATTTCAAGACCTGACTGCTGGTCCAGAAGCAAGCAGTAAGATCTCTCCATCAAGCTATTGCCAGGCATGTGTACCTTCGTGTAACTTTACCAACAGGAAAGCCTTCTCTTTAATGGGAGGAAAACATGGAGAACTTGAAGGGCTGTGGGATTACAGAGAATAATTAAGGATCAGTGAAAGCAATAGCGAGAGAAGGTGTGCGGCTAATTATTCCCAGGGCTGGCAGGAGGGGTGGAGGGTGGAATTTCTCATTTCAACCTCACCGTCTCTTGCTAGCTGAGCTCTCCTGAGAAAGCATCCAATTTAGGTGCAATTCACAATATATCTGCTCTGCTTTGGGGTCTGAAGTTGATCTTTTTGTAAACTTTACAGGTACTTCCCTGGCAATTGACCCTAATTCGTGTTCTGAAGTCCAACTTCTGACCTTCTTGGGACTGTCCATCTGTGGTGAGATCCCTGGGCTCTGAGCCTGCAGGGCAGCAACGTGAAGAGAGGACTCGCCTGCCCTGGGCCACTGAGCAGGAGTCAGTGTCCAGGGACCCAGCCTGCCCTCTGGCTGCAAGGCGCCACTCATTCTCATTCTCTGCCTCTGCCTTTCCAAGCTCTGTAATCTCACGAGTGTGCTTTCTCCCTGTAGGTTACAGTAATAAAGCTTCTTTCATTACTGGTCTAGCAGACAGGCTCTTCCGCCTGCACTGTCCTTACTCAGCAATGAGCAGCCAGAATGCCACACACAGGCACTGCAGAAGGCCCTCCTCTTATGACTCTCCTTTCCAAGAGTTTTTCTCTGGGATGTGCCCTGAGGAATCTCTAGAGAATTTTTGGCAATAAGGGCCAGCAAGATAGCTCAGTGGAACAAGCACTTGCTTAGGTAAGCTCAGGGGCCAGGGTTCCTTCCCTGGCACCAAATGCCACCCTGGCCCCGCACCTCGGGTATTCTGAGCCAGCAGTGGAGTCTAGACATCATGGTGAATGCCTGTAATTTCAGCACTAGGGAGGCAGAAAACAGGAGGATCACTATGAGTCCAAGCCACACAGTGAGACCTTGAGTGTACTTGTGCGCACACACGCACACACACACACACACACTCACTTGCGCACACACACACACACGCACACACACACACACACACACACAGAATCTTTGGCAATAAACAAAGACGTCAAGTATAGCAGACTCAACTCAGGAGTTTGAGGCTGTCGCTTAGTCTCCTGAAAATTGTCCAAGATTCCAAGAGGTCTATTCTCTGGCAGTCCTGCCTGTACCATCAATGTCTCTAACAATGACTCAAGTGAGCCTTTTGGGAAGTGGTCACATGGCAATTCCTGAAGCGGTTGTCTCCATCACAAATTGAAACAGGACCTGATGCCTAGTAACTGTTTCACTTAAGGGAGAAAATCATGTTTCCTTCGCTAACACTTCCTTATTAGAAGGTTACCTCAACCTGTTGAACTAGAGGAAAGATGCAGCCTGCTAGATGTCCTTGTGTTCTCTAAAACTGAAGAACAAATTCTAGGAACAATGGAGGTTAACAACAAAATCTATCTATTGGGGGAAAGAAAGCTATATTCATTAGGGGAAAAAAGCTTTTGTCTATGATACACAGAAGGGAATCCTAGAGGGGTGTCACGGTCCCCACTTTTCAAAGGAAATTTATAGGGCAAATCAAAAGATGAGACAGATCCAAGTGGGGAAAATTATAATCAACTAATAAGGTTACAAGTATAATCACTTAGGTAACACTGATCCAATGGGAAATTAAGAGGTAGACAGGAGGCGGGACAAAAATATGGTCAGCCAATAAGTTTATGGGTATAATTACACAGGTCATTTTGATTAAACGGGGATCGAATGGGTAAGCAAGTCATGTAGCAAGTGGGTATGGAACAGAATAGGGGCTTTTCCTGGAGCGCTGGTCAGTGCCTCTGCCTGGCTTTCCCAAGGTGATCGTAACCATTTAGAGTATCAGTCACTGCTACTGTGTAGGTGCACTCCTTTCATCTTTTGTCTTGAGGTCTGGCCCTCCTTGATGGGTACGCCTCCCCCACAGTTGCAGGGTATCCTATTTTCTGCAGTGGTTCCTTCAAGGGTCCAGCCCTATTTGGTTGCCTATAGTATTTCTACCTAACCTAGCTGTCCCTAATACCATCCTTATGACCTCTACTTCTCCGCAGCCCCTGGGACAAGCTGGCTGGCCTCAAGCACAAGTCTAGCTTGGGGTGGGGAGGTGCTCTCACCTGGCCCAGTGAGTAATCACCCAAGTGTCTGTTCCCTGAATGATCAGAAGGGGTGTGCTGGCCTGGATCTAGACAGTGTGAAGCCAGAGCACAAGACTGTCAAGGCTGCCCTGGACTAGAACCACCACCAGTGACTTTACTTCCTGAAGCTGCTGAATTTGATTCTGCTGTTTTTAAAATCTTAAAAATATCTCAATAATTTTATTGGGGCATAGCATGCAGTGAAACGCAGATTTTAAGGCACCTCTCAACACATTTTACAAATATACTCCTTGACACCACTGTGCAGGTGAAGATGACGAACATTCCCAACTCTCATGGAAGTGCCTTCATACCATGCCTCAGCTAAATCCTGCCCATACCTCAGGCCAAGGGGGTGTAGAGGGGCAGCAGCCACGCACAATGAAGAGCTCTCATTGCTGAGCCAATTATCCAAATTTGTCAAATATTCGGTTCTATATATTCCAGTTCTGGGATCTCAGCATAAACAAATTATATTTAAGTCTATCAGACATGAACAAATGTGAGGAACTCGGTTTGGTGAGATGGCTCAGTGGTCTAAAGCACCTACTTGGAACAAGCTTAGCAAAGCACAGGGACCGCAGTTCGATCCCCCAGCACCACATGCCAGCCAGCCCCGCCCCCTGGTGGGCTGAGCTGGCCACACACACACACACACACGCACGCACAAATAAAAAAAATTTAAAAGAAAGACAAATGTGAGGAACTTTCTGTGAGGAATAAAACTTTAGAGGAAGCAAGAAACCACCTACCAGCCTCATTGAGCTTCCTGTCTAGGTCTCTAGCACATTCATCACCTGTTCTCTTCAGCTAGTGTGGTGCCCGCCATTCTACTTAGGGTCCTGGATGTGTTACATCAAACCAGGCTTGCTCCTCTTTCCTGATGACTTAGAAAACTCCAGGCTACAGGTTCAGTATCCCATAAAGTCCCTACCTCATTGAAGCCTCCATTTGGACACATTCCACTGAGACATGTGCCTCGTATGCCCCACTTTTAAAATGAGACCAATATGTACAAAGGATAACTATAAATTCCAAAGGAAATTGCCAATCATAACACTCTTTCTGTGCCTCCCCCAGACTCCTCCAGAATGTGCCCAGTGTGAGCCAATTAGTGTCACCTCGAGTTATTTTTAGGTTAAAACTAATTTGAAATAGTATGAGGGGTCCCTTCCTCTTTGGCAGTACAACTGGAAAGAGCAGGACTTTGCAATTGGCACTCCTGATGGTGATCTTCTCATGAAAAAAAACAGTGTAAGACATGGCAGGTGACATGCCAGACTGAGAATTGAAATCAGAGAAAGATAATTTAGCTATCATCAAGTGCCTAGTTCTAGCTACCTGAAATTTTTCCATCCAGAGTGAGTTATAAGAGATAACAAACTCTCCCTTGGCTCTGGCGAATTTGTGAGTTCCATCACTTGCAAATACCAAGGTAACAGCTAAAATACTCTACCACTGAACTTGGAGCTCTATTATATGCTCCTTTCTACTATAATGAACTGTTTTATAGAAATACGCCATTTCCCTAACTAAAAAATAAATCTCTTCACTGACTTAACTTTCTCCCTACACACCTGTCCCATGGCTAAGCACGTGACAAGTACTTGAAATGTTTTCATTGATGGCAAGTAAGAAGTAAATGTACGGTATCAGAAATAACAGTAGTAGTAGTCAATGGCACACAGCAAGTCTTGTTGAAGCAGTACCTCTTTGTTCTGAGCTTGCATAGAGCTGGCTAGCCTACATAGGACCCAGTTATTTGATCTGGGAATTTGCCCATGGGTGTGATTTGCTTGAAGTTTTGGAAATTGTTTTCCTGCTATATATTGTCTTTGCATTCCCAGTTGAGTTTTCATTTCCAATAGGATTTTCAGTCCATCTTTTTCTGAGTGTTGGGCGTTTTTTCCTCCTCTCCTGCTTGCTCTAGTTCAGCACATAATAGTGTTTATTAAGTTTGAGTCTCCTGTTTTGAGGATTAGAAGACATTTCCTAAAAGGCATATGAATGGCCTTCAAAGTTGAGAGCTTGGTAGAAGGAGCTTATCAGCCCCTTCACTGGAACAGTCGGGCTGTTTCCAGGCCACCCTCCCTCACTGGTTGAGGTCATGGCCTCCTAAGGCTGACAGATGGGAAGCTGGTAGGACAGGCAGATGCCAACAGAAGTAGAGGCTCACATTTGGTTGCATGTGACCCAACTATATTATCTGAAAATTTTCAGACATTGTGCACCTTATTTGAAATCTTCACACTTTTATTTTCTATATGTTGACATAAACACCCTTGGTTTCCCTTTGCTTCTTATAAAAACAATGAACACCCAGGTATCTGTAAATATAGCATTCATCTTTTATTACTGAATCTCACAATTAGATGGGACATTGTGTAAGAATTTAATTTGGCTTCTGAATGGAAGCCAGAGGTATTTTTTTTGGAAAATGTGAAACCAGTAGGCTGACCATCATTCTAAACACGAAAACCTGCACAGAAGGAAATTCCCAAGATGCCCAGGAGACCAGCTTTTGCACAGCCTCCAACACCAACATCATCTGGAACGAGGAAAATTTAAAGTAAGGACATCAAAAATACATTGAGAAAAAAAAATACATTGAGATTCAACAAACCAATGCTTTTTGCGTCTATCTCGCATAGAGGTTGTATTTGTAACTCATGATACCCCATATTTTAGCTATACCTACATGGCAAAGAATAATAGTAAGGTGGATAATTCCTGAAAGTGTTGCTGGCTCAATTTTAGCTGGTTCTACTACATGTTGTGTTGGTGGCAAACTTTTATCCCTTTATAAGTTCTGATAAGTACTTAACTTTTTTTCTGATCAGTACTAACAGTAATAAATTCTAATCTTTTTTTCCCTCTCTCTCTATTTTCCACTGCTTCAGACAATCTTCTTTGTCATATTTACTAGAAACTTTGTAATGACTATAGTGCTCTGTTACCCCGATAAAACAGAGCTCTGGTCCCCTGTCAGCACTCAGTGCTTGCTCTTTCCTGGGCTAATTCTATTCCTGATGCTGAGGGCACTTCCCAATGACTGCCCCATCATCTCCAGAAGATGCTATGCTAAGGGTTCAGAAGACCTTCTTTCTCCTTGAAACTCTTACATGATCAAAGAACGCATAGTTTTTCCTGGACACCCAGAAACCCTTCCTTATCTTACACTCTGTTTGTAGTTGTCCATTTTTCCACTACCCCATGTGTCCCATGGAGGCAAAGTTTTATTTCTTTCTGTACTTCAACCACTTAGCATAATTTCCAACACACACTATAGAAACTGAACAGCGTCATGTGTTTACTTATTCATAGTGAAGCAGAAAGGATTCAGTGAAAGAATGACTTACGTGACTTTTCAACCACTTCCCCCTCGTACAAGGGGACGTGCTTGCAGAGTTTCTCAATAGGCGATCCAAACAGGAACCAGTCCACTCTGGTGAACAGAGACTTCAGCGGGTTATACCTAACCCAGGTGTATTCGTCCGAGGCCATGGTGTTCAAAGTCTAATCAGTGCAACAGGGAATGAAAGCATTGAATCAATTGGTGAATGCTTTGTGTACTTTATTCTGTAGCCCAACTGCTTTTCCCTTTCACATTACTAAACAGAGAGTTAGGGATCTCAAAACATCTCCTTCATGACCAATCTGTCTGCAGAGAAGCCATTATTAACTGTTATTTTACTCCTAGTGGCAATGAAACTCAGAAAGTAAATTGCATCAAAAGTGGCCCAGACCAAAGAGGAAAGTGATCGATGATGTAGAGTGTGCCTAAGGAGAGTCACATGGGGGAGAAAACACTCTCTCAGGCTTTCACAGAGAGCACATTGGCCAAGCAATGGCCGTGACTCATCCACATGGCTGCACCGACAAAGGTTCTACAATCTGAGGTACAGGATCTCAGGATAAATCCTGAGGGGATTTCACTGACCTTATCAGACCAAAAAGCTACAACTCTTGTTGCATAGGTCCTGCTTAACCATCCAGTAGAAAAGTATGAAGACAAAATATAGGAAGTAAAGCCATGTTGTTATGTTGAGCTGTGGGGGACTCAGGTCAATAATTTCTGACATTGCCAGTTAAACAGAAGACCCAATGCTATTATGGGCTACTGGACTCTTTTAGAATATTTTGCTGAGTTTACACACCTATAATATTCAATAACGGAACTTAGAAAAAATGGGGTATACCGATGAATGTCCATTTTGTATCTGTGTATTCAAAGTGGTTAGGATAGATATATAGTTGCATTCTCTTAATGAATAGAATGATTTGTTCTAATGGTGTTTGTAAATAGGATCACAAGTCCGCATCTTGTACAGCAATTAACCACTAAGAAGAATATATGCAGTGTTATTTGTTGAAACTGTACTTCCGATTTGATTTGAAATTGTCTCATTGCTATCTGTTTATCAATAAAATTTTGAAAAAAAAAAAGTGGCCCAGATGCGAAGTCATGAGAGAAGATGAAACCTAGTTGTCTATTGTCAGTGCAGCGTTTGTGTCTTCTCTGTGCTGTGATTTCTTTGCACCTTTGTAACTTCACTGTGTTATTAACTAACACTGAATACTGTGTCATTCAGTATTATACTTTGACTTGTTTATCTCCCAGTCACTATTTCATTTTTTTCTCTGATACTGGAATTTATTATAATTGCATGATTTAGTACTGTATGATAGAAATCAAACCAAGGTTTACTCCTCAAGAGAAAAAGGGGGAAACATTTCGATAAGCTGATGACCATACACAATCTTTTCTAGCACTTTCTTCCTTTCTCCATAGGTGCCAGTCTTGCATAGTTCAAAAACAGATTTTTTTTAAGGGTACCTCATGATTACCTGCCTCTCGTAGATGTACCGCTGGAGTATGTCCAGAGCAGGGATGGTTTTGTGGTCCATCTTCAAAACAAAGCAGGCTCTTCGGGAGAGCACCCTGGATGCAATGTATCCCTGAGCAGTAAAAGCACAGTTACTGTTCCCTCCCCGTTTATCGGATTCTAAACCTGATGAGCACGACTGGGTCTTAGAGGAAAGGCTTGAACATACACCATGAGCAAAGGTTATCATTTATCATTCTGCAGTGAATTCTGTCTACTAAACGTCTTTGGCATACCATGTTTATTTGAATTTTTTTTTGTCATTGATTTTCCCTTAAACTATGTAAACCCATAACTTGTGCTTAACCTTCATGTTATGGAATCAGAGTCTGCAGTTTGGGGTTTGAAAGATGAAAGAACCAGGTCTCTGTCTCTTTTGATTGTTTTTGTTTCTGCCTTTTCTCAGTTAGAATTAAAATATCACATTCTTTACAACAGCACTGACCCATATCATGGTTACCAACTGTGCATAACTATTAAAGTTGAAATTCAAATAAGATAAATTTTTTGATTACTTAAAGAGAGAAGAAAAATTGAGAAAAGTCTTAAAGAATTGCAAAAGTTAGATCTTAGAATGTAAATACATAATAAGTGCATATCCTTCTGCCCTTTAGAAAATTATCCTGGAAATATAAAAATTTCCTTGCAGCTTACATGTTTATAGTCAAAAATTGTGGTAGAAGAACATGATCCTGCATGGACGTTAACGATGGCAATATTTTTTTCATTGTCCACTTCCACTGTCTCCTGAACATTTCCACCATTGTTGCTTGGGCTGAAGATGTTATAAACCTAGAAATGATAACAAAGATACGATAAGTGTTCCACAAATCCCATTTATTTGAAAGGCAGCTCATTCAGCAAAACAAACCTTACCAATTATTATGAACAAGTAATGGAAGGGATCCCAGACTAAAACCCATGTTCAGATAAAAACCCAAAGCTTTTCTTTGTAACTTACCATTTTACACAAGACAGCAGCAGTGACACCACAAGAGAAACAAGACTGACCATATTTTAAGCAATGGGTTACATTTATAAAGGTACTATGGTTAGACTGCAATATAACCACCACCTCCTCGTCATCATTTTTGTTAGTTATTTCTGGGATTCCATCCCAAATAGGGCTTAGAGACTCTCTAATATCCCACAGATTATGTTTTATCTTCCTTTTCTTTTCCTAATGTATCTAAAATACCAACTCACCTCGGATCCATGAGATTGTATCCCAAAGCTGGCCAGCACCACCAGAAATGTCACCTAAAAACAGACCAATCACATCCATGCCTTCTGGTTAGTCACTGGGGGATGGGGGGAGCAGCAGAAGACCCTGGATGCCTAAGGACACTGGCGAGTGGTCATCAGTCCATTTTTAAACACATGCACATTTGCTTATTAAACAGGCATTTGTTGGACTCGTGCCATTTGTGAGACACACAGCTCCACTCTGTCCATCATAACTATCTAAACAGCAGGAAAACTTAGAGCAGGTGAGCAGAGGAAGATTCATTTTACCCCAGGAATACCCTGCTAGGATTCTCACTGGCTTTAGATTAAAGAAGACAAGCTGCGCTCCCTGGTGAAAATAAGAAAAGAAATTCTCCAACTCCTTGAGGTTGGCAAAGTAGACCAGCCTTTCAGTGGATAAAGGAATGATAAAAACATAGGAGAAACTATGTTTATAGGATGCTTGGGAGCATGGTTAGCTTTTGAGGCTGACTTCAAGGAAAAGCCTCTTACCTTGCTATAGGCTAGGCCTTCAGGCAAGTGCTGGGCCAGCAGGCCATGTGCCTGACATGGAGGCAGTTGTGATATCTTACTGCACTTACGTAAGAGTCTGACCCAACGTGCTGCCCCAGGTTTGTACTCTCTCTTCTGAATATCATAGAGAACTGTGCTACACTGAAAGCAGGTAGAGAGCATCAGGGGAAGGGCAGATACTTTTTGAGAACTCTCACTGGGTCTCTTCTACTTCCCCATTCCCCATTCACCCTACCCTAGCATTTATCTCCTGCTGCCTTGGGATATAGCACTTAACAATGATTTGCATATGGATATCCAGCTTTCCCACTGGCACAGAGGTGCATCTTCCTGTCATAGGTCAGCTCTAGAAATGCCTGGGGCTCCTGTATATTCTAATATATGGCTCTAGAGTAGAAGTTTGAACAAGACAATAGACAAGCCACTTTAATTGTATTACCAGGGATAGCTCGGAGTATCCTGTGTCCCCAGATAGCCTCCCATTTAGCACCATGATTCACACACCATGGGTAAAATTTGTACTTTATGGTAGAGTCTTCTGGAAAATCAAAAGACCCGTGGGAAAGGAAACTATTGAGGTTGACGGCCTTTATGACATTGACAGGAAGTACTTAGAATTTTGCTTTCTCCTTTAGCAGCTGAACAAAAACAAGGGATAGAGAACTGGGGGAAGGTCTTCCATCCTGGATCAGAGCATGATATACTGTCCATTGGGCACTACAGTGTAAAATGATATCTGGAATCGGATGGAAGGGTGAGGCCAATCATAGAAAGAATGCTTGCATTAAAGGAGAATTTAGACAACATAGATAATTACTGAAGGCACTACAGCTGTTTAATTTCTGCAATTATGTCCTACATCCTCCATTTATAAGCTTGGGAAAAGTGCATTCTTCTGTGCCTCAGTCTGTGTGTCTGTAAAATGAGGATAATCCTACTTGATTTACAAGGTTGGTGTGGTGGATAAATGAGATTATTTATGAGAAATGCTCAGCCTATGGTTTAATATGATCTGGGAAAACATAGCTGCTAGTATTACATATATATATATTTTTTTTTTTTAATTACTACCTCTCTGTCACATAGTAAATGTCATTGTTCTAAAAAGCCTACATACTCTCTTAAGGTACTATTATTAAATATCCCTCAAAGTAAAATCCCCTTCATATTTTCAACATTGTGTTTTACTATTTTTATAAACATTTAGAAGGAGAAAATGGATACACAAATACCTGACAATACTCATTATATTGCTGGCAAAAATGCTGTAGAGGCTCAGGAGCAAGCATAGTCAAAGACCCCTGACTTCCATGTCATACTGGACATCCATCACTTTCTTTGCGAGTAACCACCACGTAAGTATCAAGAATCATGAATGAATACTCACAAGGATTTTCATTTTGCCTGAAGAGAAGACAGCGCTGGAGCAAGTCAAGCAGCCTACTGCAGTTTCTAGCCTTTATATTGGTTTTAAGATGTAGAAATCTCTTTTCCAAATGACCACACAGGAAAAGCCCATGTCTGTATCTCTGCCACACCCTAGCAAATTCCTTTATCAGGCTTGAGACTCACCCACATCCATTATATCAATAAAGTTCATAAGTCAGTAATGAAAATTCTACAGTTGGTCACTCTGTAAATATTATCTGCTTATTTGTTCTTTGCTGCACTGGAGATTTCAAATTTTTCCCTTTAAACATAGGACAAAATGCTTCTCCTACAGATATGTTTCCTAGACACTCAAGAAGGTATTCCTAGAATCGCCTTCTGAAGGTGCAGTTCTTCCTTCAGCTTTGAGTTGCTCTTCTACCCAGTCTCTTTTAATCATCATCCTATTTGTTGAATTTGTCCCCCTCAGGAAGGGACGGGAAATTCAGAGGCAAGGACGATGGCTGGGAGCCCTGCTTTGAGAATGAACATTCTTGTGGTTTTATTTTTCCTCCTCAGAGGTGGTGCCAATGTTCAGAGAATCATGAGAAACAAGGCTCAGAAAGCTCTCTGCCCAGTTCTAGGGATAACCAAATGTTTACCTTGAGCTTTGTCCAGAATCCCATGAAAACAGTGACTCGTGTATCTCTAGCTGAGGAACTGAGAAATGTTCAGATTTTGAAAGTTGGAGGAAAGAGGCTTTAATTCTGTGATTTTTTAATGCCAAAATTAGTCTTTAATCTTTGTGAATTTTTCATACCACAATTAGAAATGGCTAGCATAAGATAATTAAATTTTTCATTTTTATTTTTTAAAATTTGGTGTATTTATCAGGTGCAGGGTCCCACTACACAGCTCAGACTCATACTGATCCTTCTCTCTCAGACTCCTCAGTGCTGGAGTCACAGGCCTACACCACCACGCTGTTTCTGAGGCCAGCACAGTATGCATGGCTTGCAGTACTGAGGAATCGACCCTGGGTCCTTGCGCTTGCCAGGCAGGCACTTAGATCACTGAGCTATCACCGTAGCCTGCAAAGACTTTAAAATGCAATTGTAAATTGTAAGATGTTGAGAATAAACACCATAAGCAAAAACATAACATCTGTGTGTACTCTAATACATCAAGTTACCATGTCTAAAATAAAAATAGTACATGTTTTCTCCAAAAGAATTTTTTCTGGATACAGTTATTTCTTTTAACAATTTCTTCTAGTTCTTCAGGCTTACTGTGAACTCATCCTTATTTCTTCTATCACTTTTTCTCTGAAGTACTTTTTCTTTCCAGACCACCAGCCCAAACTCTACTCCTTGTTTCCTCTGCTGCACACTCCTTATTGTAATAACTTGTATTAGTCAAAATATTAGCACCAGCTTCCAACACAAGGAGTGTCCAAATTTTTATGATTTGACAAAATAAACTTGTGTTCATCGTTTATACAAAATCCAGTGCAAATGATGTAAATGGCATGTAGATTTCCTATGTCAATATACTACTTTCCCACAAAGTCAATTTCATTTTCTTTATGTGGCTTCCTAATCTTCTGTATGTTTTCATTGTTATCCTAGCATTGTCTAGATGACAGAAAAAGATTTAGACCAACAACGTGGAGAAACTGTATCTGTTCTTAACTTCTCCTGACTGAGAGTGACCACCTCTGTTCATTGTTCCTTGGTACAAAGAGTCGCATGGCCTCGTCTAGATGTGAGAGCAATGGAGCTTATCTCTGTGCCTATGAAGAATAAACCAGTCCATATCAAGATCCCGAAACTGTGTTCCTGTTTCATAGCTTCCCATTATTTCAGCCTCAACACTACTATTAATCCATAACTTGAAAGCATCATCATATTGCTAACATTTCATTCACAACTTTTTAAAACTCTCCATTAAATGTGAGATAAAGTTGACATTTCTGAGCTTGGTATTTAACTCATTGATCTTCACTCTTGTCCCAAAGGAACTTCCCCAGGTATCATGAGAGAAGGTGCTGTGTTTTGGATCCTGTATGTCCCATAAAGGTCCATGAGTTGAAGACTTGGACTCAGCATATGGTGCTATAGGGAGATGGTGTACTAACAGGATGAAGTTAGGTTATTGCGTGCCTGCCTTTGCAAAAGATATTGGGAGCCTCCTGCCTTTTTCCTCTTACTCTCTTTGCTCTTTGGCCACCAAGAATTGAACAGGCTTCCTCCAACATGCACTCCTACCACGGTGGACAGTACTGCCACAGGTTCAAAGCAACAGAACCAAGTGGCCTTTGACTAAAATCTCTGATATTGTGAGCCAAAATAAACTTTTCCTCCTTTGAGAAGTGTGTGTCCATCTCAGATGCCCATTTCTTGATTGGGTCTTTAAATTTTGGGGCCCTAATGTTTTTTAGTTCTTTATAAATTCTAGAGAGCAGACCCTTGTATGAGTGCTTATTAGTTAAGAAAGACTTCCTCCAAGTTAAGGTTTAGTTAAGGTTTTTTTCCAAATTTGCGGGTTGTCTTTTCACTCTATTGATAATTTTTTTTGGTGTGCAAAAACTTCTCAATAAGAGGAGGTCCCACTTGTTAATTCTTTCAAGCATTACCTGTGCAGTTTGATTTTTGTTCATGAATGGTTTGCCTACTCTTATGTCTTCAAGAGTTTCTCCTACTTCAACTTGAGTGTATCTGCTATTTCTTAACAGTAATAGAAAGTTAACTAATACAGAAGAAAACATTCTAAAGGAAAGAAAAGGTGACTATAAAGTGAGAAAGAGGTTTGTGTACAGGTGTTAAATTGCCACGAAAAACACTCAAGTCTTCCTATTGCACTGTCCTGCTTGTTCTAGACTCCCACTCTTATCGTGTTATTCTCCTCCCATACTCCCTTTACCATGTTGTCTTTCTTCTTCTTCCCATTCTCTCCTTGCCTCCTTTATTACCTTTCTTCTTCCTATTCCCAATGACTGCCTACTTTATGAAAACCATTGGAAAACATTCTGAAAAAGATTTTTTAAAAAATGGTATAGAGCCTTGAATCTCTACTTTCAAGAGATTTTTTTGCTTATTCTAAGGCATAAGTAGGGCCAGGGAGATAGCTCAGTAGAATAAGTGCTTGCCTGGCAAATGCAGGGTCCTGAGTTCAATCCCCAGTACCACAAGAAACAAACAAACAAACAAGAAGAACACTAAGGCATAAGTAGAATTAGATGATAATTGGAAATACAAAATATACTGAATACCTATGTCAGTGATGAACAACAACATAGTAATAATTTCCCTTGTTTTCTATGTTATATAAAACAGTAACTCCATTTTCTTTAATGAGTTAATGATTGTAAATTCCACTTCTGAATTATGCCAATTTGCTAATTACCATTATATCAATCACCTGGACCCCTGCTCTGCCCAAAGTCCCACTCTGAGATGACCAATCATACTACAGATTTATTACCTTGTCCTTTTCTGCCATATCTAAGGTAAGAGATAAAAAAAACTGCTGAGATTCTAACTGTATTTTGAGATACAGATATAGTTATCTGGGAAAAGCTTTTGTAGATTTTATCATAACTAAATTAAATTTTAAATTTTAAAAAGAATGAAGTTTTATCATGTTCAGGTACAAAATCCTTATAATGAAAGTGATCATCATGTATACCTTAGAGAAAAATTCTAATTTTTTAATGTATTTGGCATAGGGTCTTACTACACAGTTCATATTCCTAGTGATCCTCTTGTTTTTAGCCTTCCCAGCACTGGGATTACAAGTGTATGCCACCATACCTAGTCTCTGTGGCCAGTTCAGTGTGCCTGGGGGTGGGGCCAGCATAGCCTGTGGTAAAAAATTCTAATGACAAATGCTTATATTAGGAAAAAAAATATCTCAAATAAATGAATTAAATAACCAAGAAAATTATTTTAAAAAATCAAATTAATTCCAAATCAAGCACACAGTAAGAAATAATAAAGTTATAAACAAGAACCAATGGAATTGAAAATAGAAGAGTAAATTAATGAAGAAATAATTTATTTAAATGATTAGTTAAGTTGATAAATCTTTAACCAAACTGTTCATGAAAATAAAAAAAAACAGAAATTATTTGTAACAACAATAAAAAGGGGACCCCATTACTCATATTCAACAAAGGATAATAAGGTGATTACAGTTTTATGTACATAAACTCAAAACCCAAGATAAATTACCAAACTTCTCAAAAGATGTAATCTATCAGAATTTACCTAAAAGGAAATAAATAACTTGAGTGACTAAATCAAAAATTTTTAATTGGATTTAGAGACAGAAATCCCACAAAAAGAAACTCCAACTCTTGTAGACAAATGGCTTCATAGACATTTGACAAATTCTATGAAACATACAAGGGAAGAGTATCAGTTTTATGTCAATTCTTCAAGAACACAAGAGAGGAGAGAACAATTCCAAATTCATTGTTGAGGATAGTATTACTCTGATATCAAAACTAGACAAAGATAATGTGAGAAAAGAAACTACAGAATATAAACTAAGTGAATCTGCAAAAGTGTTAGCCTGTGGAATACACAAATATACAAAAATAGGAAGACATCAAAGGTTTGTTCTAATAGTATATGTGGACAGGATGTCATGTCTGCATCATGTACAATGAATAACCACTGTACTCATTGTATATGTGCAATGAATTTATTATTAACACTGTCCTACTGATCGGTTTTGAAACTGTCTCATTGCTATTTGTTTCTCAATAAAATTATTTTTTTTAAATAGGAAGACATCATAATCAAGTGAAGTTTTTCCTGTGGTATGAGATTTGTTTAACACTTGAAAATCAACAAATATCCCCCAAATTAATGGGAGTCACCAAACTGTGGGGCCAGAAAATTATACAAAACCACACAAGATAAGTATCCAAAAATTCACACCTAGGGATGTCATATTCAAGCTGAAAAAAAGGACAAGGTAAAATTTTGAAAGATGACATAAGAGAAAAATCTAAGAACTCTTAAGAATTATAGTACATTGTTTCATAAATTATGCAAGC